CTCTCTCTCTCTCTCTCTCTCTCTCTCTCTCTCTCTCTCTCTCTCTCTCTGTTTCAGTCATCACAACTTTTTCCGTCAAGTATTTTTTTTTAATAACTGTGCTGAAATTAAAACAATTTCATCACGTTCTCCACACCGCGTTTTCCACCCCAATTATAATTCCGAACCAGAATTGACACAGGAGCTCCAATCAGCGATCCCAATTTCTCGTATAATTACCTTACGGTATCAGAGCGAATTGTCGCGACCTGCGGCGATTTTTAAAAACCGAGCTGACGTATTCCAACGGATTGACGACGTCCACGGATGGCTCACAGATTCGCGCTCCGGGTGATCGTATAATTTCCTTTGCCGGATCAACTTAACACGCGGGGCTCACCTGAGATCTTGGCGAAGAGTCGTCGGATCCAGGAGATCCGCGGATGAATGAGAATCGAACTGCCGGACGGTGAGCAAGATGTTACTTTCGGGAGAGACGACTCGGAGCTCGGAGCACACCTCACAGGACGAACGAACGACACGGAGACAACCCACACAGCACGACGCGCGCGAGATGACTGACTCACGGATCGCGGCAGCTACTGCCGAGTGCCGAGCAGCCGCTCGGCGGCGCTCGGCGACGTTCGGCGCCGCTCGGCGGGGAGGCACGCGCGCGAATCGTACGCTCACAACCCATTAACCCTTTGTGTCTTCGAGAGAGTAGTTTAAATAATCTTCGCCGCAACAACACGCCCTCCACACCCCCGCATCCGTATCAGAGTCCCCCCGAGAAATGACGGAAATCATATACCGTTAGAAATGTTTTTAAATTTTCATTAGCTTTTAAGTTACACGATTTCAACTTAAATTCATCAACTTCATTCATAATATTAAATTGAATGTATTTATAACTAAAAATATATACATTTGTGTAAATGTACAGAAAATTTAATGTATTTTTCATGAAAATTTCATAAATTTAATGTACACGTTCATTACATTTAAGTAACTACTGTAATAGTGTACTTTAATTTTCAGCTATATCATTCATTACACTTTTAATTTCATTCATAACCGTGAGCCTCATTTACATGTAAAGGAAGCTCGTAGTTACATTTCTAACAGTGTACTAAGGTGCGGAAATCGAATTCTCTATACTGTAATCACAAAGTAAGAAACATTTTGTATTTATGTATGGAAACGATCCCCTCAAATCTTTGTTAAGATTTTACGTTATATTTTTAACGTATTTGAACGTTAAATCATCATAATGTGATTATTTAAATATTCTTTGAATATTGTTTATGTTAAATTGATATTCAACATTTACTTAGCGTCGAAATAAAACAATTTGTGAATAAATGAACAGATAGCGTATAATAATCTATATCTTAAAACATAAATCCTAAGAATAAAATGCATATCAATTTAACATATCATAAACGTTAATTTTGAAAAAAAAAAAATTCCACAGTTTTATTTGTAAATCGTATCGGTATGATATTCCTTATGTTAATTTTTTTATATAATATTTGTGTTATTTTCTAAAATATTCATCTTGTGTCAAATTAACACAAAAATTTGAATGAATTCGGGACACGTATATAAAATGTATTAAATTTAAATATAAATTTTCCAGCTGTGTAAAAGAGATTACTTGATTTACTTTTTCTCTACGTAATAATTATTTTTAACAAAGAATATTCTTTTAGTAATCTTAAAATATATATTCATTACAAATTTCAAAAAAACTCATTATTATGTAGTTACAAGAACTTATTTTCTATAAAAGAAAATTACAAAATTTATCAAAAAGCAGTTTTATATGTATAATAAGCAAATCAAAATGTTGCTTTATTTAATAATGTCAGTCGCGAAGTAAACTTACTAAGATTCAGAATATGTTTTGAATAAATCTGATGCTTGTGATGAACTTATAGATTTGCGGATATAAACTTTTGAAATATTTGGAACAAGTAATTATCATTTACGTACAATATATATCTTTCGGTGTGTGTATCATTCGCCCGAAGATATCTGAACATTGAGTGCGTCACATTAAAAGATAATATTAAATTTCTTGATGTATTTTAATCTCCACAATCTTTTGAAACGAAATTGTGTTATGCGATAACGATATTTGTACTTTTATGAGTAATCTGTTTTTCTGGACGTTTTCAATTTAATGTTTTTAATCTAAAATAAATTTAACACACCTAAAAGGAAAAGTAATGATCAATTAATGAATTGGAAAAAAAATCTTAATGCATTAAAAATAATATCATATTTATATATAATTATTCTCCACGTAAATACATTTATGAATAATTTTGTAAATAATTTTATTTTTAATGCATTTAGATCTTTTGTCTGCTCATCAATTCACCATTACTTTTCATCCTAAGTATATTTCCACTCAACGAGTTTTTTCAATTTGTTTTAAGTTTAATAAGTTAATCTAAATCACACACACTGTATAAATGAATCAAATAAGTGAGGAAAAAACCGAAGCTACATCTTGGTGCTTAATAATATTTTTATATATGTATTTTATATACAATCTTTTAGTTATACATTATACATTATAATATAATTGCACACCACTTACTGCCGGACTAATTGAAATGCAATAATAAACTGAAACTGAAACAAATGAATTTCCCCGATAATTAATGCAATAAGTTTGTTAAAATTAAAACGCTTGTATTTTCTTTGTTGAAAAAAATCACTTTAATTTAATTTATTATCGATAACTGTTATTCAAGACTTTAAAAATGGAAAAATTGGAAATTTTAGGCAAATAAAATTCTGCGGAATTTCCTCGATTTTTTCCTCGAATATTTATTTGACAAACAAATATTATTATATGCCAAAAATATAATTTTATTTACAAAGGAGAAATATATAATACCCCAAATATTTTAATGTTAATAGAATTATATAGTTATGATAAGGAGAACTTTCTCTTCCAACATAAAATATAATAAAGTGAATATCTTGACAGTTAAGGCATTATTATATAACAAATATAATATTATACTAAAATATAACAAATTCTATCTTTTTGTTTTTGAAAAACTGATACATATTCGGAAATTATATACTAAAAAATGCGTAAGAAAAATTATTTAAATTACTCTCTAAAATAAAAAATAAGTTAATCAATACAAGAACTCTTGATGTCAAATTAACAATATAAATAATGGACAGGGCATGTTAGAGTCGATTATAAAATTTGCACAAATAATAAATTAAAAAATTTAAGAAATAGAAATCGACTATAGTTAAATTACGATAAATTAAAATTGAAATAATTATAACATGTTTCGGCTGCTGGTTTGAGCCTTCTTCACATATCATAAGCGAGTATATTGTAAATCCAGGGTTAGGAAAGTTACTTTGTAAAAATAACTAGTTACAGTTACAATTGTTTTCTTTCAAAAGTAACTAATTACAGTTCCAAGTTACCGAGACTAAAATTAACTTGTTACAATTACAGTTGCTAAAAAAATAACTTTTCAGTGACTTTTCAGTTATTATAACAGAACAATATGACTATTGTATATCGATATTATTAGGGCTATTAAAGAGAAAATAATTTACGTTTACAATTTACTGGCCAATCAAAAAATACTTCGAAGCATTTGTAGCATCAAGTGGACCGTAGCCTTAATCAGTATTCAGATTTTACTCAAGCACATTAAATTGATAAATATATAACGTTTAAAATGTAAAGTAACTGTAAAAGTAATTGATAAGATAGGTACTAGTTATTGGAAGAAATGCAACTAAGTTAAGTTATACCTGGAAAAAAGTAATTAAACGATTGGAAGATCGATTGTTGATGAATTCAATAATCCGGTAAGATGGAAACATAATAGACATAATTAATTTGTAATATACAATACAAGCAAGCCCGTCACTTCGAACTTCATAATCGACTCTTACATGCCCTTCCCATTATTTATATTCTCGAAAATGAATTGTTCCCTCATGATAAACTTTTTATCACAAGATGGATCGTTTATAAATTAAGAAAGATTTTGCTTGCAATTTCTTCAGTTATATCGGAAGCTCGACTCGACAAAAGTAATTTTCATTCACATAATTTATAAGAATTTTCACTGAAAAAAAAGTACTAAATTTTAATAAATATTTGTTTGAATAATTCTAAGTAAATGTGAACATATATTTATTTAGCACAGTACCATTAATTCGACTTAACTATCACTTTTTTATTGAGAGAGTAAAGATTTATTTATTATGAGTAAATGTTTACTTACAATTAGTAGTATTCAAAAAAATACATATTAAGATTTAGTAAGTTTTTTTTCAGTACACTAGTTTCAGATATTAAATATATATTACTGAGAACCGCTGAAGCTTGGATCCCTCGTGGCTTATTTTAAAGAGTTTATCACACAATTTATAGTCGGCATTAACAACAAATTACTCCACAAAGTTTTAATCGAAAACGCAGCACCATTTAATTGAACTTTTCCTCTGCGGCCTCCTCTCTGCCAAGAGAAAGAGAGAAAGGGAGGGGGAGGGGGAGAGGAAGAAGGAATTCAATTAAAAAGTACTGTGTGACTATATACGCTAATGTAAATTTAATGCCTCGCGGCTTTATCGTTCATTTAGCGACAAATGTGACCATCACTCTGTCTCTTTCCAATTTTGTTCTTATTATATAAAATATATAATCGCGTAATCAGATTAATAACCAATACCATTATACCATCGCGTATAACCGGTACGCAATAAAAATCATTATTTTCGTTAAAGCACGGACTCAATTTTGATTATTTCAATATTTTCAAATTAATAAACTCGAAGTGAATAAATAATAACGTAATTATCATCGATAACGATGCGCTGTGTACGCCAAGTATGACCATATTTCCTTATAGAAAAAAATAGAGGACGAACTCGAAAAAGATTTTATTCCTAAATATTTCCAAATAGTTTGTGATTGTCAGAAGTCTACGCATTAATTTCTGAAATTTTTTTGCAATATATTTGAAATAACTTTCAAATAAAGCACAAGTCATCATCGCATCAAAATGACGTCAAAATGCATAACTGCAATTTGATTATTAAAAATCACTTTTCAATCAACTCATTTTGATGTCGTCGGATGTCCTTTTGACATTATTGTAACTCCGTTCTGCTTGAGCTAATAATGCACTTGCATAAAACTAAAGTTGTTGGTTATTTTCGTAAATATTCACTCATTACGACATTGGAATACCAATTAGAAAGGAATTTCCTGTAATATTATTAAAATAAGGGACGAAATTGAGTTTAAAAAAAAATGAATAAATCTATAGGACAGCTATCTGAAGTAAAGGACTGTCTTTTAGAATAAGGAACGTACAGTCATCGTAATGTACATATAACGAAAGTACTCGATAACGAAAGCGCAGCATCACTGCTGATCCTGTCCGCAGCCGACGCGACAACTCGAGAATGTCTCCAGCGAGTTTTCTCACCGAGAACGCATCTTGGATGTGGTACACACAAGTTTATGGGGTCAACGACGAAAGGAGGACTCATC